TGAAATGGCTGTCCCTCCCAGGAAGTAATCATTGATGATGAAGTGTCCATGTGTCAAAGTGCTTAACTTACTCTTCTAAGTGCTTAACTTCTGTATAGCAGCTCGTTCGATCCATGCGCCATCCTTTGAGGGAGATACTGTTGTCTTTACAGTAACGGGCACAGAGAGGTGGAGTGGCCCTGAAGACAGTAGGCGGTCTGGCTCCCAGTCCGTGCTCCAGTCCTCTGTGCTGTGTACCGTCCCCTGAATGCCAAAGGGAGGGCGAGCCCATCCATGTGCAGAGAGTGCTTCGCTCTAGCCAGGGCTCAGGGCAGCCTTCACGGGGCTAGTTCAAGGTCGAAAAGTCCAACACACTCCACCAGTATCAAGAGCTGAAGGCAGCCAAGACCGGTTTGGCTCAGTGAAAAGAGCATCGGCCTGCAGACTGAAAGATCCCGGGTTCGATTCTGGTCAAGGGCATGTACCTTGGTTGCGGGCACATCCCCAGTTGTGGGTGTGCAAGAGGCACTGGTCGATGATTCTCTCTCATCGATGTTTCTAACTCTCTATCCCTCTCTCTTCCTCTCTGTAAAAAATCAATAAAATATATTTAAAAAAAAAAAAAAAAAAAAAGCTGAAGGCAAGCCCTAGCCTATTTGGCTCAGTGAATAGAGCATCAACCTATGGACTGAAAAGTCCCAGGTTCGATTCCGATCAAGGACACATGCCTGGGTTGCAGGCTTGATGCCCAATAGGAGGTGTGAAAAAGGCAGCCAATCAATGATTCTCTCTCATCATAGATGTTTCTATCTCCCTCTCCCTTCCTCTCTGAAATCAATAAAAATATGTTGTTGTTTTTTTAAAAAAGAGCTAAAAGCAAGAGATGCTGGAACATGACTGGGCCATCCGAGTGCACTGTGAGCCAGCATCACAGCATCCTTAAACACCTGGAGGTCAGGTCTGACCACCAGGCATCTAGGCTGCTCGCTTCTGCCTTAACCAGACTTACCACCAAGGCACTTCCTCAGTGTGGTGCCCCCTTCCCCTTCTCATAGTCCTCAGGCAGTCTCCTCCCTGCCACACCCCCTCACCTCCTGCACCAGCTCCAGCGCTGTGTTTTTCTAGCTCTCGGCCTCAGCAGGAGCATTGAAGAGAAGAGCCACCACCTGTCCCTTGCTGACACTGCTATGTCCATGTACACACTTAACTCTGGTACCCTCAAGACCAGAGCCCACCCATGTACACACCAAATGCCCACATAAACACATGAAGCCCGTGGTAGTCACCCAAGGCCTGAGCTCCCGATGGTATGGGCCATTGTAGGGACCTCCCAAGAATATAAGCAATGTGAGTCTTTAAATTGAATGGAGTAGAGCTTGTATATTTCTCTCTTATATTGACTGCCAAAAATTTGGGTCCCAAATTTTTGGCAGTCAATATAAGAGAGAAATATAATGAAGGATGCACACATCTCCTTGGGCATGACCCGCTTAACCTTCCGCTTGTTCCCCTGTAGCTCTCCCAGAGCTTAAGAGGAGGCATCTGTCACACACTGGCCTCACGGTGAATTCCATGTGGCCATCCAGGCTGGGGCCTGTCCAGAAAGAGACACAGGAGCAGGACTTAGCCAGAGAGGCTGGAAGCCACGAGGCTGGGAGCAGCAGGACCGCCGCCCAGCCCTATCTTTTCGCCGAGGCAGCCCACCTCCCCTGAGTGCCTCTGCTTGACTGAGAAATGACCGGGGCTGTAGCAGCTTAATAAAGGGGAAGCAGAGACTCAGGCGACAGCTTTATCTCCCTCCGTAACCCAAGATGGATTCAGTGGCAGCATCGTGCCCAAGGCCAGAGATTTCTTTCTCTGCGGCCCACCGGCCCAGGGACCTGTCAAGCCCAAGTTAGTGTATCGATTGCAGGGTGAGCGGCGCTGTTTAAGTCCGCTGTCAGTGCTCGCTCGCCCGCCCGAGAGCCTGCTGCCCCGCGGCAGCATGGGCCCAGGGGCAGCTGCTAGTTGCTCCGTTCTCCCTCTGATATGAACCCTTGAGAGGCCAGCCTCTGGCTTGCGGCCTCAGAGGGAGGTGTGAATTCGGGATTGCCACGTGGAGTGAGGCCTCTGTGTGGATCTCTTGTAGGAACAGAGGGAAGCTGCCCGCTCAGTTGCCTTTGCCACCCATCTCTGCGGTTCTTGCATTCATTTCCAGCAATCCAATGCCAGGAGGAGTGACGAGGGTGGCCATCAAGCTTGTCACAATCACCCTGGCCCACCACTGGCGACCCGAGCCTGGAGGAGACCATGTGCTCGTGCACAACAGCCATGCTAGTTTTAGGGAAAGGACACTTGGCTCCTAACACAGTGGAAGGCAAGAGGTCAAACCTGAGACCTCTTCCAGCTTCACTGCTTTTGGCAGGACAGAAGGAGGTGCCTCATGAACCCCCAAAATACAAGGAGGGCAGTGGTTTAGTGGTGAAAGCCAGCATCAACATACACACACATACACACGCGCGCATACGCGCACACACCTGTTTCTCAGGAGTCCCTAAACACAAGGCAGCGCCTCTCTTGTCTTCCTCCTGCCTCCCAAAATCCTTCTGGAACCTGCTGCTTCTTGGCCTTGGCATGTTTGATAAAGCTTGGCAAATTAAGAAGGATAAGAGATGATTTTTCTGTGTATCTTTTTAAAAAAAAAAAAAAAAACAGAGTTGGCATACAATATTATATTAGTTTCACTTGTACACATAGTAACTCAACATTTGTATAGCTTATAAAGTGATCACAATAAGTCTGGTAACCATCTGTCATCGTACAGTTATTACTATATTTTGTTGTTGTTGTTAATCTTGACGCGAGGATATTTTTCTCCATTGATTTTCAGGGAGTGGGAGACAGAGGAGGAGATTTTCAGAAGGAGGAAGGGAGAAAGATAAACATATTATTGACTACATTCTTTATGCTGTACATGACATCCCCGTGACTTACTTATTTTATAACTGGAAATTTGTGCCTTTTGATTTCTCATTTTGCCCATCCCTGTTTTAATATGGCAGCTTCCTGCTCTGCCCTTGGTCCTTTTGCTGTAGGGGCACCCAGTGGCCCCTCAGTGGAGCTTCCCTGGGGCTCCAGTGCCCTGGGCATTTGCAAGGGGCAAAAGACCCTTCACAAAGTCGGTCGCTCACCCCGATGAGTTTAGGTGCCTCACCAGCTGGTGAGCTCCTGAGACACCTGTGCCATATTGCCCACCTGCCCTTTTCCCCGTACGTTAATTGCCAGCATTAGACAGGAGGAACACATTTTGTCACTACAGTATTAGATGCTGGTCCTCCCTGCTCAGCCCCTCAGCAGGTGGTGCAGGTGTTGGGTAGGCTCACTCTGGCTCTACCAGGGAGGTGCAAGGCACCATGGTGTTGATCGTGGTGGGATCTGGCATGACCTGGTGGGAAGCAAGGAGAAGGGGTGAGAGGTGTGACTGGGGGAAAGGGTGCTCCTGAAACAGGGCTGTAGAAGAGAGAAGGAGGTGCTCTCAGCTCTGCCCCTTCCTAGCTGCACTTCCCTTCTCTGTGCCTCGTTTCCCCACCTACAGTACCAACTTGGGTTTGGATCTGTACAGACAGTACCTGTTCCCGTAGCTCTGATAAACTCTGCCTACCCTCTTCTGTATCACATCTCAATTTGGGGCACTGTTGAACTTGCTTTTACCCTTGAAGCGTTAACTGTGGACCTCAAGCAGGAAGAGGGTGTCCAAGAATGGGAAAAGGCCAGGGTCCTTCCTCCCTGGCCCCGCCCCCTCTTCCCCTTACCACTGCCCTCTGCATATCTGCCATCTTATCCACTTTGTCTACTTCGAAGGAGTTATACCCGCTGCCGTCTCTCCCGCTGAGGCAGAGCCACCAGACAGGCGCTGCTCCCTCCCTCTGCCCCTCCAACCCTCTGCCCTGGGCTGCTGCCACGGGCTCTGGCCCAGGCTTCAGAGAATTCTCAGGTATTTAGACATTCATTTTATTGCTTAATCGAGCTTGAAGCCATTACAAGTTTTTACATTTGGCAGCAAAGGCTCTCACAGTCCCCTTTAGCAGGGGAAGAAAATCAAAGGGCTTTTTCCTGGGCCGTTGCCTCCTTGAGGTGGGAGCAGATGCTTCGCCACTATGGCCAGGACAGTGAGGCCACCATCTCACAGGAGCAGAGGCAGTTCTGGTTCTGGGGCCCGGGTCTCCCAGGGACCCGGGGGCTTCAGAGCCCTGGAGCCTTGTGGGGACCTCGGGGGGTTCTGAAGCTCAGCACCAGCACACAGTTCAAGGTCTGAGCTTACGGCAATTGCTCTTCCTCGGGGGGAACCTTCTGGGGTTAGCTCCTAACTGTTCCTCCGTAGTACACTTCCTGCCCACTTGTCCCATCCTTCCTCTCCTCGCCTCTCAGGCAGCCAGGTTTTTTTTTACCTTTGTTAAATTAAGCATTAATTCATTCAGCTCCTCCAGAATAACACAAGCTCCCCTCTCCCCAGGGATTGCCCTGCTCCCAGAGTCTGCCTCTCTTCAGAGCTGGGGGAGGGAAGAAAGGAGTGGCATGTGCCCAGAGCTGTCTGCTTCTGTTGTCACTCCTGACTCCAGCTAGACAGACAGACACACACACATACACACACACACACACACACACACACACACACACACACACACCCAGCTAACAGGGGCTCCCTTAAGCTAAGGAGTGGAGTTTACCCTATTAGCTCTCTGTCAAACAGAAGTTGCTTTATCAGTGATGTATCTATCTGGGGGGTGAGAGGCTAAAAAGCGTAGAATCAACTTCCAGAACTGAAGCAAAGGGCTCTCTCACATGCTCCTGCTTTTCTGCTCAGCACTTCCCTTCCCTCCCTAGTTCCAGCCGCTCCTATCACATGTAGTGAACCTGGTGGCCACTGCCCAGGGCCTGAGCACTGGGCCTCAGTGCCGCTTTCTCCGCCCCCCTCTCCCCCCACACACACCCAGGGCCATCCCCCGCACACTGACTCTGCGCCCCCTTTCCCCGTGCCCCAGGTAGAGGTGGAGGTGGAGAGCATGGACAAGGCCGGCAACTTCATCGGCTGGCTGCACATCGACGGCGCCAACCTGTCTGTCTTGCTGGTGGAGCACGCACTCTCCAAGGTCCACTTCACTGCCGAGCGCAGCTCCTACTACAAGTCCCTGCTGTCTGCCGAGGAGGCCGCCAAGCAGAAGAAGGAGAAGGTACGGTGTGGGGCTGGGCGGTGGGAGGGGTGCCCCTCTCCGGGCTCATACTTCCTGTCACCACCATTCACACCACTGCCTTCCTACAGCAGACAGAAGTGGTTCTGTCTTTCCCCAACTTGAGTCACCCTGGTTGGTCTCAGACCCCATATCAGGAGCCACATAAGAACCAAGGCAGGTGTCTCAGCCGTAAGCCTGTCGCAGACCTGCTCAGGCGGGTCAGGGCGGTGACCTCGGATCAATGAGAGAAACAACTGGGGGAGCCCCTGGCGCAGGAGGTGGGCGTCACTCCTGCTCCGTTTCCATTCCTAGCCCTTCCCGCAGCCCACATCTGCGTTCCCTTCACTCTGCCCTGCAGGGAAGCCCATTTGGGAAGCAGCCCCAGGAGATGCATAAAGCTGTTAGGACAGCAGATTTACAGCCCATCCGTGACTGCAGACAGCGCATCAGAGAGACAGGGGTGGGTGGGAAAGCAGCTTTAAGAAAGAAATGGACGATTGAGGAACCCAGTGGGTTTACTGGTGGGAGCGGGGCTCAGCACCCCCCCCCCCCCAGCCTCTTGCCACTCACTCATGACCCAGCTCTGCTAATGGGATGAATCAGCCAGCCACCAGTATGGCAGAGCTTCCCTGGGCTTGAGGAGGATTTTATGGGACAGCCATGCTGAGCCATACATTTGTTCCAGGAATAAACATTGCCTTCCCTCATGGGGCCACCCTCTGGCTTGCAACTCACTTCTCAGAGCCAGGGCCCAGTCACTGGCCAAAAGAAATGGGGGGGTTCGGGGCCCCAAAGGCCCCTCATTCTCCTCCAGCCTGGAGCAGCTAGCTCCTCAGTCAGTCCTGTCCCACCTTCTTCCCAGAGCACACATCGCTTCTCCCGGTGACTGGGCCCCGGACCACCCTCCTGGATCTCTCTCTTTGCTTCCATCTCCTGGGGATTAGGGGGGAAGGGGGGGGCGGGGGATGCCGCCCAACAAGCTAGGACAAGTGAAAGGAACTGCACCCCTTGGAGGAGTGGGCCACCAGGAAGCCTGTGAGGAGGTCTCCACCTTCCTCATCCCAATTCCACTCACAGAACCAGTTCCTCTCACAGAAACCCTGCCTTCCCAGAGGGATGGGGAGCAGGCAGCCTCTGCTTCTACAGCAGAGTGCTCCCTCCTGGGTTTCCTGTTTGCGACAGCTCAGCCTAAGGCTGCCATGCCGTGTCCTCCGCCCGCTGCGGGGAGTGGAGGAGAGTGGTGCTGGGCTTGTGTACAAAGGGCTGAGCCCTCGCTGAAGAGGTAGCAGCTGGGGGGTCAGCATGGCAAGCACCAGCCTCTGGGACCCGGATTCTGAAAGTGTCTTTGCTCCCTGGCTGCTCAGCACATGAGCCCAGTAGCCACCTCTTCTGATCTATGCGGCCCTCTACGTGTAGAGGCCCCAGAGGGACCCAGGAGAGGACAGAGAGGGGACCCTGGCCTGAAACGGAGGGTCCCTTGCCAGGCGCATCGCTATGGATTTGCCTGAAAGAGCCCAAGTCATCTTAGCACCGATGCCACAGGATGACGCCGAGGAGTAATTACCAGTGATTAATTACTCACACAGGCTGCATGTTTTTATTCTGTCTAATTAAAATGCAGTGCACCGCTCTCAGCGCGGGGCCTGCCTTCCTCCTGGGCCCGTCTCCTGCTTGTGTCTCTCTCTTCAAGACTCCCGGGAACCTAGCGGGGCTTGCCTCTCCCTGGCGGCTGGTTCCCAGGAGCAGCACGGGCAGAGCTTTGCGGCAGCCCTCAGGGTTGGCAGGGCTCAGGTGACAGCGAATCGGAGGTGTCCCCAGGGTCCCCAGTCTTCTCCACTTGGGACCCCATGGTGGCCCCTGGGGGTCAGAGATCATGGCGGTAGCCATGAGCTAACTGCTGAAAGGTTGTGTGAGACCAGGAGCATGCGGAAGTCTTCAGCGAGTGTGTTATGTGTGTGTGTGTGCATTGTGAGTAGTTCTGTCTGGCTGCTGCTTTCCCGGCCACAAGAACTTAGCTGCTCCCTGCCAGGCCTCATTCCTCTTCCACGTGCACTTTGCACTTCTCTCCTAATAACAAGGCTGTTCTGGCCTCCCCTTCCTCTGCAGGAGGCTGATGCAGAATTTCCTCCTCCTTTTCCTCCTCCTCCTCCTCCTCTACCTCCTCCTCCTCTTCCTCCTCCTCCATGGATTCTGGGCAGGCCTGAGGACCAAGGAGGGAGCTGCCAATGGCAGCTGCATAGATTCCCTTTCTCCCACCACTTGTGCCTCGGCAGGACCCTGGACAGGGTGGTTTGGCCATTGACTGACTTTTATTTGCTTCCCTACCGAGGGCTTGAAGGCCTCCACCACCTCCTCAGCAGCAATACTCACTAGGATTTAGAACGGAAAGACTCCAGCCAGTGGAACCTCAGTCCCCATTGCCCATCTCCTGCAGGGAAGAGGGCCTGGGCTCCCCGGGGAGGAAGAGCAGGGAGGGGGCTCCAGGAGCCGTGAGGGCAGGAGGAGAGACCGCCTCTGCTCCTGGGCCGGCCTTGCCTGTGCCTGGCCCACGGGGCTGCTTCCCTGAGGCGCCACAGCCACAGGACAATTGGAGCCCCAGATGTAGAGGGGACGTAAGCAGGACAGAGCTGGTCCGACAGAGCAGATGAGGAGGGAGGGAGGTGCTTCTCTTGCCCTTTTTCCATCTGGGTCTGTAGCCAGAGCCCTGGAGGAGTCACAGAGGGCCCTGTCTCAGGACAGCTCCATCCTGGCCCTCCATTGTAGCATGAGAGCTGCCTCCAACCTGACCAGAAACCTCTCCACATTCCGGGCGCTGCTGCCCGGCCTGACTCAGGTTTGTCTCTACCAAAGGCCAAGAGCATTCACAGCTCCCACACCTTCATCCCACCCAGCACCTTGGCCCTGAGGTCCCTCCCCAGCTCTTCCTTCTGCTACGAACCTGGGGCAGAGCCTCGCGGACTGTGTATCTGTATGCGCAGTTACTGTTCCTGCTGGAAGGATCTTTGGGTTTTCTTGTCAGGGCTCTGAGCTATCAGAGGGCTCGGAGTGGCTGTAGGAAAATGGCACATGTCTGGCAGGTGTCTCTCCACTGCCCCAGTTCTACAGAAGGGCAACATAAGTCAATATGGGCAAAACCAACCCCTGTTGAAGGGTGGGGACATGGGCAGCCAAGCCTGTCCCAGCTGACTGACTCTTTCCCACCAACAAGCTTCCCTCCTGGCCAGGCTGCATTTACCAGCAGGTGGAGGGCCACTGGCAGCCAAGCCCCAGGAAATGGTTGGTTACCTCCATACCCCAAGAGAGAGGGGGAACCTTCAGGGCTCTCCTACTCAGAGGCGAACCCAGCCCTCACTTAGAAGTGGGTTCCTCTATCTGAGGTGCAACTCTCCCTCTTCTGTCCTTTGGCAACTGCATGCTGCTGGTGTCTTCTCACCTCCCAAGGCAGCAGTGTGCACCCCACTGCTCCCTTCCTGATGCCCAGTGAGCCGTGGGGCCTGTCATAGGACCAGTGGCCCCTTTATTGCCCTCCATGTGGGAGCAAGGGGGCTTAGAGCCATCCTCAGGCTTTCGTTTACATCACCATGCCCTCCAGCTGCTGCCCCCTGAGCCTACCCTCCAGCTGCTGCCCCTGAGCCTGCCCTCCAGCTGCTACCCTCTCAGCCTGCCCTCCAGCTGCTGCCCCCTCAGCCTGTCCTCCAGCTGCTGCCCCCTCAGCCTGTCCTCCAGCTGCTGCCCCCTCAGCCTGTCCTCCAGCTGCTGCCCTCCAGCTGCTGCCCCCTCAGCCTGCCCTCCAGCTGCTGCCCCCTCGGCATGCCCTCCAGCTGCTGTCCCGAGCCTGTAGGAAGACATTCCCTCTCCCAGGGGAAACTTGATGCTGTCGCCTAAGGCTCTTTGACTTGAGTCATTAGCAGTTTCTGCTCTCACCCTGTCAGTCTGTTCCCAAATCGTCAACTCTGCTGTGGAACCTCCTTCCCCCACAGCTGAGGGAAGCAGGGTGGAGTTTGGGTAGGAGCCCAGACCTTCTCCCAGGCTCAGGCCCAGTCCAAGCCCATCTCGTCTCTCTGAGGCGGTGCGAGTCCCATGATGCTCAGAGCTGCAAGGCTCTTGGGAGCCTGGCGGCCGCCCGGCATAACTAACTAAGCAGTCCCTTCCCTGAGTGAGGGGACAGGAGGAAAGGCTCCGCCTCGGCAGGTTTCAGGCCTTGGAACCAGAAGGAATGGGGCTGTCATCCCCCGCCCCTTGCCCAGTGCTCCCAGTGTCTGAGCCTCAGCAGGATGCAGCCCCTGGAACCGGAGGAATTGGGGCTGCTCTTCCCTCCCCACCCCCTCCCCCCACCCCCGAGTGCACTCAGTGGTCCTAGCCAAGGCCTCTGATTGGAGAAGGGCTTGGGCCAGTTAGGGCCTGTCCCTGATCTGACTGAATAGAAGTTCTAATTTCTCTTCTCCTGGTGGCCAGGCCTGGGCTAGTGAAGCAGAGGTGTCTGGGTGCTTGTGATGAGGGAGGTGGCCGTGCTGGCAGGACAGGTGTTGGAGGCAATGAGAGGGGTCAGGAGCTGTTTGGGGTAGAGCCCAGCCCTGACCAGGGGCCCATGAGCTCAGCCTCGGAAGTGGAGGGCATGCCTGTGTGGGAGGCCGAAGTTTGGACTGGACATAAGAGACAACTTCCATCTTCCTCAGCCACTCCCTGGTGAAACAGGGATTTGGGGTACAGATTTCCTGTGGGGTTTTGTCCGACGAAGATGAAGAATAAATTCATGGACAAGCAGATTTCTTTAATAAAAATGTAGAAGTGTGTTGGAAGTATATGCAAACTCCATCTGGGCAGAGGTGTCCCCAAAGGGCCTCTGGGGAGGGGCCCCTAAATGGGAAAAGCTCGCTCTCTCTCTCTCAAATTCAAAGAAATCCTGCTGGTGTCCCTCTGTCTCCAGTTTATGTGTGCTGCAGTTCTTTGTTCGAGCAAGGCCCTTTCCAATTGAGCCTTTCATTAATTGAGGACCCCCATGCTTTTCTCATTGGTTATTTTGTTACATAGCATCAGTTTCAAAGGCCAAAGCCCATGTGGTGAAGCCTCTTTCTCTCCCCCTTATCTTGCAACATTCCTCTATTCTCTGAAAATGTGTTTCTTTATATTACCCTGTGACTTTTCTTTATCCTCTGTGAATGCATGTGTGTCCCATCGTCCCCCCCACCTCCACCTCCACCCTACCCCATTATCCTGTGGCCTTTTCTATCCTTTGAACAAGCAAGATAAGCATTTTGGCCTCTCCAAGCCACTCAGGCCAGGGCTGCTTTTTTACCCAGCTTGTAATTGCTTTAATAGCTCAGGCCAAAGATACCTCTGTCCTTCATATATATGCATTCCTCCCCCATGGGCCCCCTTTATTCCCTAGACCTGCCTAATTTGTCCTCAGAATTCCTTTCACTGGCAGTCCCTCCTTCCCCACCCTGGGCTTGGGTAGTTCCTGTTGCTCATGCCAGGCCTCTGGAGGGAGGACACACACTTGTGCCACATTAGAGGCGGGAGCCTGGCCTCCGTGACTGTGACCCCAGGAGGCTCGGTAAATCCAGTGTTCCTCTCCTCAGCTGCTTCCGGATGCCGCCCAGGAATCCGCATGTCGGCGGGTGATCACGTGTCAGACTTTCACCAGGGAAGGAAAGGAGACTCGGAGAAGGCACCTCTGACCAAAGTTAGACGACACAATTAAGCCCCATTGCTCAGGCTGCCTGTGCCTCCAGAGGCCCAGTCAAAGCCAAAAGCCTCGGGGAGCGCTCTGAGCCAGCCTGCCTGTGTTCTGGTCCTGGCTCTGCTACTCCTAACAAGGCCATGTGCCACAGTTGCCTCTGTTAAGCAGGTCGTATTCATCTCCGCTCAAAGGGTGGTTGTGAGGATTAAGTGAGTTTATACTTAGAGAATGTTTAGAATGGCTCCTGGAACCTAGTGAGCATGTAAGCTTTTGGCTAGTTCTTTTATCACCCCTGCTCCTGTGTTTGTCTGTGGGGCCGTGTGGTCCAGTCCCGCAGTCCCTTACCGCCTTCCCCTGCTTAGCTGGAAAGCCACCTCCCTTCCCTGGCCGACAGGCCTCGCTGCTGGGAGAACTTCCTGGCCGCAGGATTGGACCTGATGTGCTGTCACGTAGCATCAGTGTCTGAGCTGCTGCTCCCCTGACAGCTCAGGGCTGGGGAGGAAGGGAAGAGGAAGGTGGAAGGGGCAGTCCCACTTCTGAGCTGGGGTCAGAGCAGCCTGCTGGAGATGAGGACTGAGAAGGGGCAGTTCCTGCACAGTGACGAGCCCTCCCGTCCACGGCCCAGGGCTGTCACTTGCAGAGCCTCCGGAGTGCCAGTGGCCCTGTGACAGTCAGAGTGACCCTGCAGAGTGGTATGGTGAGGGGGTGGGGCCCCCAGAACCACTCCAGGGCCAAGGTCCCGTTGGTGTGCATGAGAATCGCCGGAGCCTGCGCTGTCCTATTTCCCGGGACCTTTAGAACATCCTGCTTGGGTAGGCATGCCATGGGTCCCGGGCACCTGCATCTTTGCTAAGCTCCCCAGTTGCTCTGATGCCTGCCGGAAGTTGAGAGCCACTGGATCAGATGCACTTAAGAGCACTCTTCCCCACTCCTCCCGGGAGTAGGAGGGTTCCAGGGGCCAGCCCAGTGCCTCCCACATTCACTCACCTCGGGGTGACCCACGTGCCTCAAAGGCCCTTTCCTGGTTTCCTTTCTGACTTCACTTCCTCGTCCTCCCTCCCCTCTGCTGGCCACGGGCAGGTCTGGGCGCACTACGAGGAGCAGCCTGTGGAGGAGGTGCCGCCTGTGCCGGAGGAGAAGGAGCGCTCGGCCTCCTACAAGCCGGTGTTTGTGACCGAGATCACGGACGACCTGCACTTCTACGTGCAGGATGTGGAGACAGGTGAGTGCTCAGGCCCAGCCCAGGCAGCGTCGCCTCAGCTCCTGGCTTTGCCGGTCACCCCTGGGCCTCCCCCACTGCCCAGCCAGCAGCCCCGGCCCCAGCCCACTCATTGCATGACCTGCAAGTGCGCCTGCCGTGGGCGGCTGAGCAGGTCCTCTGAGGACTGGTGAGGTAACCGATTCTGTCTGGGTGGTGCTCTGAGACTCTTAGGTAATTGTTTTGCTCCAGGCACCCCTGGCTGAGCTGGGCATGAGAATGTGTAGCCCTCAGAGCCTATGGGGAAGCAGGGAACAGATTGTCTCTATGTGGTCAGGAAGCAAGAACTGGCATCTCCCAGCCCTCTCCCCCTCAGCCTCCTGGGAAGGCCGGTGGAGGAGGGAGTGTAGGCTTGTCTCTGCTGGGGTTTCTCCTCTAGAGGTTACCACAGCCCCGAGGGGTAGCCGTTTGCCATGGAAACAGGAGGCACTCCAGGGAAGTCCTCCCCAGTGGTCTTTCTAAAGGACTCTCGCTCTCCATCCTCCTCCTTCCTGCCCTCCAGGGCCGTGCCCTGTGGCCAGGGTCCCCTAGCAGAGATCTCAGCCCAGCCTCCCACCTCCACTCCTGTAACCTGACTGCCTCTCATTGCCGCCCAGGGCAGAGCAGAGGGCTCTTAGAGCCGCCCTGAGGGCCAAGGGGGCGGAGAGGACCCAAGATGTCAGTGGCACTCAGGGCGGCCCCCTGGGTGACAGGATGCAGCTCCGCTCAGCCCTTCAGCCCACCCAGGCCCACTCCAGACCAACAGCTTTGTCTCCGCCACTTCCTCTCTAATGGCATTTCCCAGGCAGCTGCTTTTGTACTAATGTCATTTCGCCAAGGAAAACTGACAGTTTCGAGTCCTGTACCTGAGCTATACTTGGGAGGGGATTAGCAGGGGAGGGGCAAGGATGGAGCTGATGAGCCTTCAGGATCAAGTTCTCTTTTCCTGTTGTTAATCCTCACCAGAGGATATTTTTTTCCCATTGGTCTTTAGAGAGAGAGAGAAGCATCTATGTGACAGATACATCGATGATTGGTTGCCTCCCAACCAGGGCAGGGATTGAACCTGCAATCTGGGTATGTGCCCTTGACCAGAAATCAAACTTGCAACCCTTCGGTTCATGGACTGACACTCTAACCATTTAGCCATACCAGCCAGGCTAGATCAGGTTCTCTGAGGTCAGCTGCCATCCTGGTGGAAGCTGGACCAGCCATTGCCTTGGGAACGAAGCCAAGAGAGACCCAGCCTCCGGCTCTGCGTGGCCAGGGAGGAGTCTTACAGGGGCGGTATTCCTGAGCACAGGCGCCAGCTAGACCCTGCGCAGCGTACCCAGCTCCCAGACGGGCTCTGCCTGCTTCTGGTCCTGCTGGGGAGGACTCCCCTTAAATAAGGACAGGACCCTAAAGTCTCCCAGGGACAGAGCTTGACGGTTCAAGGCCTTTGACCAGTTGGTCTCTAATCTCAGAGGTTTCCTGTACACCTCCGCACCCCACCTGCTGTCTCTGTCAGCCCTAAGGAGCCATGATGTTGCAGTGAGCAGTAGCCAAGGCAGAAAATAAAGACAGAGAACTAAGGAGGAAACCGTGTCTTGTTGGAATATCGGAGAAGGGAGTGAGTGCTTCGTGGCACATTGCCTGGAGAGTTGCGGTGGGCTCCAGAGAAAACCCTGTCCTCCAGTGGCTCCGTGAAATCCAGGAAAATAAACCTCAGCACGCACAGCCCCCTCTTCTGCAACTTTCATCCCCTCTTGGGGACATCCTCTCTCCCTCCTCCTAATGAGACCCTGCCTTCGGGACGGAGCGGGTGAAATGATGGAAGCGTTTCCGTTAGCTGTAAATGACCAGCCAGGTCTCTGTCTGAGGACCTCCCAGAAAGGGCTCTGCCTGTCTGAGGAGGCAAAGCCTGCTTTCTGTTGCCTTGGAGCAAAACATAAAAATAGACCAAGTACAGGAGGAACTGTCTCCTATGGAGGCTTCTCCTTAGTCCCTGAAATATTACTATCTGGGCAGGGAGCACTGTCTCAGGAGAATTCAGTGTTTACCACTGGGTGGGAGGAGGGCATTGCACCCTAAAGCCCCTGCTCTGTGGCCTGTGCAGAGGCCGAGAGTGGACAGACCTCCCCTGTGCGCATGCGGAGTCATCCTCAATGCAGCTGAATTTGTGAGCACAGTGCACGTGTCCGGGCTTCCACTGGGCCTTGCAAGAGTGAACAGCCAAGGGAGCTGTGGTCTGGGCCCTGGAGGAGCTCTCCATGTGTGGCAGGAACACAAACTCGGACGAGAAACTTGTAAGGCCAACTGACAAGTGTACCAGCAGCCGACACGTGTTAGGCATCTGTTATAGCGAGTGGCGCCCTGGGGCCTGAAGGTTAAAAGAGGAATCCACATGCACCCAGCCAGCCACCTTGACCTTGGAGAGCAAAGCAGGCACCACAGGTCTGATGCAGACCTAGAATCAAGGCCAGGAGAAGCCCCTGGGACTGATGTTGGCTTAGTAAGTGGGAGGCAGCCGGAAGGGAACCTGAGAAGATTCTGGGTGTTGCCAAACCTGGAAAACAAAACAAAACAAAAAGACAGGCAAGCAGCAGAGCCTCAAGGTCAGAGTGTTCAGGAAAGATAAGCTCACCCCCACCTCCCACCCACCCCACCCCGGTTGAGGAGGGCGCTGAACTGGGATGGGAAGGAAGCACCCTAACCTGACAGCACCGGGAGTTCAGTTCAGCATGAGTCTCGCAGAGTGACTGGTCAGAGTGGCCAAGTGTGAATCCACTGAGGCTGCACCCTGTCTCAGAATTGCTCTCCGTCTTTTATGGCTCAGACTCCCAGGCCTTTTCCCTGTCCGGGTTTGTATGGGGCTTATCCTTTATCTCCACTTTAGCCCCGAGGAGACATTGCAGAGAGTGGCTGCTGTCAGTCACCGCCTCAGCGCCAGGGCCAGCTCTTGTAGGAATGGGCCGCAGGCTGGCCAGCTCCCACCCTAGAGAAGGTTGGTGGGCCTTGCTCCACGTCCACATCCACTCACATTCTCCACCTCCTTCCCCAAAACCCAAGAGTGTTCCCACAGACTCCACAGTCAGCAGGTCGCCATCCTGCCTTAGCAAACAGCATGAAACCTCGAGCAGAGAGCAGAGAGGACCTCCCTGAGGGATGGGGACGAGGCAGGCGTGCTACAGAATTCCTCACCCCACCCACGCCCAGGCTCATCCGCCTCCCCAGCCCGAATGAGCCTCCGGAGAACCAGGCACCCTGGTCTCACCCTTTGCCTCCCCATCAGGCACCCAGCTGGAGAAGCTAATGGAGAACATGCGGAATGACATCGCCAGCCACCCTCCTGTCGAGGGCTCCTACGCCCCGCGCCGGGGGGAGTTCTGCATTGCCAAGTTTGTGGATGGAGAATGGTGAGCCACTTAGGTCCAAGCAGTGCAGCAGGAGCCAGGGCTGGTCTGTCCTCAGACCAGACCAGACATTTGCCTCTGCAGCCTGCTGTCCGCTGGGGTGCTATTGACCTTGGCCGCCTCCCCAGGGCAGCCCTCTTTATTGCCCAGAGCCCATCTGAGCCTTGATTATCCTGCAGTCCAGCCAGCCTCCAGACTACAGAAGTGTGCTCCTCCTCTCCCCTCACTCTGTCGGGGGAGTCCTAGCTGTCTGGGGCTCTCCGACACACCCATCACCCCATTCAGGAAAAATGTCTCATAAACCCTGGCCAGCCACCCAGCCTCCACCCCAACTGTCTGGGACATGAGCAGCAGCCTCCACAGGCTGCAAGGTCACTTACGTCTGGTCTACCGAGGGTAGGGCCCTTGGCCCTCCCAGGGTGACGAAGTGACTTGGACGTGTTCCCTGCTGCGGCCTCCCAGACACTTCTGCCGGCTAATTACAGCCGCTGTTCAGTGTGCTGAGTTACAGCAGCAGACATCCATCTAGTCATTAGTCTTGTTGCTTTATGCCCCAAGGACACATTAATCTGCTTCAGATGCTGCCCTCTCCCTCCCTCTGCTCCCAGCTGTGCTCTGATTCCATTAAAGGGTGACCAAAGGGCCTCAGTGGAGTCTGAGCCCTGTCCTCTGCGGCACCCAGGGCGTGCTCTCTGGCCCCTGGGCAGGGACGTGCCATGCCCGCTCCCCTGCCATCACTTAGGCTCCAGGGGGATTGACTCCTCGGGGCTGTCGCTTGAGCTCTGCCCACGATGCCGTTGCAGGTACCGGGCCCGAGTCGAGAAAGTCGTGTCTCCTGCCAAAGTGCACGTCTTCTACATCGACTACGGCAACGTGAGTGGGGGGCCGGGAGCTGGACGGGAGCGGGGCTCCATGTAGCTGCCAGGGGCCATTCACGCAGTGGCTCCCTAGGTCAGGGCCATCTACTGTTTGTGTGGCAGCCGTGACCCCTGAGTGACCAGGCAGCACTGGCCTCTCTGGCAGAGAGAGGCCTGTGTGCACCCATTGGTCTCTGAGTGCCCAGCCATGCCCACGCTTCCTCTTCGGCCCTGCCCCCGAAGAGAGGGCCAGGAAGGCTCTCCACACAAGCTCAGCATGTGCTTGTCCCCATCTGCTAACGTCCAGCGCATCCCCAAACCGAGGTCTGCTGGGAGGGACCGTCCTGCGGTGGCAGAGTGCCTGGGGGAGCGCTGTAGCTCAGGGGTGTGGTTCCTGGGCTGTGGCTGTGGCCGTGGCTGTGGCTGCCGCTGCCCACTTTACTCAAGGACTAGAGTTGAGGGTCAGTTAGCAGAAAGCCCAGAACTGGGCCATACACACAATTTACTACCTGGCAACCCCAGGCTTGGCCAGCACGGGCAGCCAGGGCACTGCCGGACCCACATCTTAGTGAGCTCTCACAGCCTGTGGAAGAGTGGTCACGGAGCCCATTGCGGCAAGGCATTGGAGAGAAATACAAGCTGCGACTAGAGTCCAGTTATCAAGTTACATTAGCGGGAACCAACAAGTGTGCCCACACCAGGCCCAGGGTTAACGGTGTGTGAGCCGCAGCTGCCCATTGCAGGTGCCAGCAGGTCTGTTCTGCCAGGGCCTCACTGCAGTGGCTCCGCGGGCAGTCCCTCCGTCAGAGCTGTGGCCTAGCAGACAGTCCTTCCATCAGAACAGTCAGAGGCCTGGCCACAGGAGTGTCCTTTGGGAACAAGGGGTCATCAAGTGTGTGATGCTACTGGCCCGGTGTGTCCTCTGCAGAGAGAGATCCTGCCATCCTCCCGTCTGGGCACCCTGCCGCCTGCCTTCAGCACCCGCGTGCTGCCAGCTCAAGCCACAGAGTACGCCTTCGCCTTCATCCAGGTGCCCCAAGACGTGAGTCGATGCATCTGCTCTCCTTCCGAAAGGGACTGTCCAGTGACACTCAGCCACTCCTGCGGCCCTCACAGACTGACAGGAGTGTGGTCTGTTAGTAAAGGACTCGGAGATGGCAGTGACTGAGGGAGTTGAGGGAAGGTGCCAGAGGTGGTGGCATCAGAGCACTTGAGCTAGTTCGTAGGAGTGGGTAGGCCCACGGCCAGGTGCACTGGGGCAAAGGCTGGTCCACCACAGCGAGCCCTCGGGGCTTGTGGGCAGTGTCAGGAAATGGAAAGGTCACTCAGGGTCAAGTTTATTCTGTGTATTAAGGGCAGGAGGGGTGTGGCAGGATTGTCAGCAGAAGTGTGATATGGTCAAACCTGGTTTGGAAAGTTACTTGTAGAACTGGGAAGGAGACTGGAAGGGATTGTTGGACACAACTGCATTGACAATCCGGCAACGGACTATGGTGGCCAAACCAGGGCCACGCGAGGGGGGCTGGGGAGAAAGGCCGGTCTCCGGGCACCATCAGAGCAGGGTGGGATGCGGAGGGGCAGAGGCTAAGGTGGGTCTTTACCTGTGGGTCTGTTGCTGGCCAAGATAAGGGAGGTGAGAAGGGCCAAATTAGAGGCTGTGTGATTTGAGCGTGGTCTGCAGACATGGGAGGGGAGGGGACAGCCTGCGTCCCTACAGCCTAAGGAAGAGGCTGAAGTGACTGTGCCCCTGAGAGGAAGACTGCTCAGGGCTGCAGGCCACCATTCCGTCTGGAGCAGGGCCCGAGGCCTCAGCCTCCAGGCGTCCTTGGGGCTCAGAGGGAGGGACATCTGAACGCAGGATTGGAACAGGCCCCTGGAGCTCAGGGTCAAGTTTATTCTGTGCTTAATGGGCAGGAGGGGTGTGGCAGGATTGAAAGGCATGGCTGAGTGCAGGGATCTGGGGGGCAAATGTAGGGTAGGAGTCAGCACCATAGAAGATGTTCTGCCTTTTCACAAAATGACTGCAGGGCAGAGGAGAAGCAGCAGGAAAAGGTGTTGACAGAGTAAATCCAGGGCAGTCAGGCTGTGGGGATGGGGAGGCCTGAGCATGGAGAGACCCTGAGATGACAGTGAAGGCAGAGAGGTGGGGGCTGGAAGGTCACTGCCAGAACAAGGCCAGCCAAGGTGGGAGTGGTCAGGCCTGGGCAGCAGGTGCAGGCTGGTGTGCCATGGGAAAAGCCACTTGTCCTCAGAGACACAGCAGGTGGGTGGGGAGAAGGATGGGGGGGGGACATCAGATAGGCTTGGAGGGGAGGAGTGGAGAGGGATAAAGAGGGAACACTTTCTGTCGAGAGCCTGCCTCCTCCTCCCTCGGTAGGATCTGAGTGGGCCGTGAGCTGCAGGCACCTTGGGGTGACTTTCTTGGAGGACCAGGACCAGGACCTGGGGCCCCGGTGGCCAGCTTTTGCTCAAGCTCCCCTCTCCCCCCGCCCTGGGTGTTTGTGCTGCAGGAGGATGCTCGGACAGACGCCGTGGACAGCGTGGTGCGGGACATCCAGAATACCCAGTGCCTGCTCAACGTGGAGCACCAGAGCACCAGCTGCCCCCACGTCACCCTGCAGTTTGCCGACTCCAAGGGGGACGTGGGGCTGGGCCTGGTGAAGGAGGGGCTGGTCATGGTGGAGGTGCGCAAGGAGAAGCAGTTCCAGAAAGTGGTACGTGATGCGGGGGCGGCCCCCAGAGTCTCCAGCTGTCGTCACCGAGGGGACCGGGGACTGCGCCAACCGCCCGGGAGGGAGCGGGAGCCCACCATCCTGCTGTTCCTGCTGGGGGAAGATAATGGATTTCGGTTTGTTGGGGTTTAAAAAAAAAAAAAAAGCTAATTACATCCCAAATTAATTGGCTGCAGGTTTGGCTGAGAATGCAGCTGCAAACTAGAGCGGAAAGTTCCCTGTGCATGCACCCTCAGGCCAGGCCGGAAAGCTTTGCCAGGGCTGGCATGGAAAGGGTCAAAGCCTGTCTTGCTTTCTCACCCACTCTCACTTCCTTTTCTCTGACATACAACTTCCACATCTACAACCAGCTCCTAGCACTTAGTGCCGCCAGAGCAAAGGAGCCCCAGGGCACTCTGCCACAATACCCTCCAGCCTGTTTACAAAGCCCCAGGGCCTGGAGCTGGCCTGAGTCTCCCTCTCATGAGATGAGAGCTGGGCCGTGAGGATGGGGCTGACACCTGGGGAACCTTGCACTATTCAGGTGTCTATCCTTACGATCTTGTTCAGGGGACTAGCGGCCCCTTCCACTGAGGACCCTACTCATCGGAGTCCTCCCAGCCTCTCACGAAGCCATAGCTGAGATCCCGGGACATACCAGCCTCGGAGGATGGGCTGGGGCCAGCTCATGTCCTCCACACTCCCTCCGAGAGGAAGGATGAGGGAGGCAGGAGGGAAACCTGTGTTCTGTCTTGACCTGCCCTTTGCTTTCCCAACTCCCCAGCCGTCTGCCTTTCCTCTCTCCCCACGTAATGTTTCCACAGTGTGTGGTTCCCTGGGCTGCTTACGCAAGTTGAAAACTCATTTGGAAAAAGCCCAGTGTGAATTGCTCCTGTGTCTGCTCTGGACAGGAGAGGCCTGATTCTAGTCCTCCCCTGGAAACCCCCATTGTCCTGAGATTGCTCTGAGGGGTCAACTCAAGTTTCCCTGTAGAACCAGAGATCTTAGTGTCGCCCATACAAAGCTACCCGTAACGTCTCTGGGTCTAGAAAATTCCTATTCCCTGACAAAAACACCTAACGTGTTCATTGATTCATCTAGTCATTCTTTCAGCAAACATTTATTGAGTGCCTACATATCTCAGTGAACAAGAGACAATATCTCTCCCCTGTGGAGCTTACATTCAAGCATGAGGAGATGAGCAATAAAAATACATATAATAAGTCGGTGAAATAGAATGTTAGAAAATACATGCACTGGAAAAGGAAAAAATATAAGAAAAGGGCAAATACAGTATGATCTCACTTACATGTGGAATCTAATAAACAAAATAGAACTAGAGGCATGGACACATGGGACCTGTTTTCATTTTAAAGAGAATCAGAAATGTGTGGGAGGGGATGGTTATAATGTTTTTTAAATATATTTTTATTGATTTCAGAGAGGAAGGGAGAGGAAGAGAGGGATAGAAACATCAATGAGAAAGAATCAGTGATTGGCTGCCTCCTGCACACACCCCACTGGGAATCCAGTCCACAACCCAGGCATGTGCCCTGACCGGGAATCAAACCATGACCTCCTGGTTCATAGGTCAACACTCAACCACTGAACCCACACTGATTGGGCTGGTTATAATTTTAATGGGGTCATTGGAGGCCTCAAGAAGATGATGCTTTAAAAAAAAAAAAAAAAAAAAAAAAAAACCTTTATTGCTGACAATATTGCATATGTCCCCTTTCTTTCCTCCTCCTCCCCATTAATCTCTTCTAGCCTTCACCATCCTATTGTCTGTGTCCATGGGTCATGCATATATGCATACTAGTTTTGTGGTTGATCACTTCTCACCCAGCCACTTTCCACTGCGAAGAAGACAATACTTTTATCGAAGACTTGGGGGGGGGGGGGGGTAGTAGCCACGTGGGCCAGAGCGGGAGCGAGCCTCAGGCAGATGGGACAGCCAGTGTGGAGCTGGGAAACGGTTGGCATGCACATTGGCTTTTACTCTGAGGGATCTAGTGATCCACTGGGCAGGAGGGTGAGGTTGCCCTGACCTGTGGGCATCCAACAGGGTCACTCTGGCTGCCCACTTGTGATCCCCTCATCTTGATCACTCCCTTTTTCTCTCCCTCCAGATCACAGAATACCTGAATGCCCAGGAGTCCGCCAAGAGTGCCAGGGTGAGTTTTCTCCTCAGGAGCTCCTGGGGATGCTGGGAGAGGGGGCTTGACCACCCGGGTTCCAGCAGATCCCACCTCCCTGACGAGCCATTTTCTCTTCTCTCACAGTTAAACCTGTGGCGCTACGGAGACTTCCGAGCCGATGACGCGGATGAGTTTGGCTACAGCCGCTAAGCAGGGAATCGGGTCCGGCCCCAGCACCCCTCACAGTGCCTCTTCCTCTGCAGGAGGGTGTCTCGGCTCCAGACCGCAGATCGGGGTGCAGAGTGGGTCCAGCTTTGCTTCACTGTGGAAATGCCTTGCAGGGCAGCGTCTGGGCTGGGGGCGGGGTGCAGGGAGCCTGCGGCTCTCGAGAGCCTGTCTTCTGAGAGGACAGGCGCTGCCCTCCCGTCTCTCCCAGCTGATAGCTGGTTCCCTGTTTTTATTTGGACAGGGGTTGTGGTTTTCTAAAAATTGTCCTTCAATCAGGAAGAAACATGAAAGACTTCGTGCTAAAGGGGGGTGATCCTAGCCCTGGAGGCCCGCTGTCAGAGAGCACCCCACTTCCGTCCCAGACTGCCTTTCTGCCCAGCTCTGTCCAGCTATTGATCATGTGATTTCTCTAATACGTCCGTTCTCAAATGCCAGCGCGCCCTCTCCTTTTCTGTATTTAAAGCTTTCGAGGCCCAATAAAATAGTACATGCTGTCTGCAGCCCTTGTTGGTCATGGTAGAGCCCAGAGCCAGGAGCCTGGGCACTGGTGGCTCCCAGGGTTGTCACCACATGCCTCGCCGCACTCCCAGCAGCCTGGCCAGGACTACGCCCAGCTCTCCAGGGGGGCCAGGAAGCCAGCAGAAGTGTATTGGACGTGTCTCCTCACTCCTGGAAATGCTGCCTGTCCCGTCAGGCAGGCTTGCTCTCACCGGGGCCTCTCCCTTCATTTTCACTTCTCGTGGAGACTGGTCGTGGAGAGGAGCATGCCTGGCAGAGGGAACTGGGCAGTTCTCCCAGGTTCTGAGCAGCCCCAAGGGTGTGGTGGGCCTCACCTGGCACCTCGGCCACGCGCAGAACCCTGCAGATCTCCTTTGACTCATCCGTCTGTACACTGCACAGGGCTGCCCTCAAGGACCTTAGAGATGGAGCAGCTTGGCAGGCAGTGCCCAGGACTTTGCACAGAGGACAGGCCAGGCTCAGTCCTGCCAGGGCCCTGCAAGGGCCGGAACGGACTCACTGAGGGACATGAGGTGACTCTCCTCTTCCTGGCAGCAAGAGGAATAGCTAACCCCAGACAGGTTGGCATGGCCTGGGCAAGATTGGGGGCCCTGTTCTCTGCCCAGCTCCCTCCGCCTGTTCTTTGGAGCTGGAGCTGGAGGTCAATGTACTCCAGAGCCGTGGCCGAGGAGTGCCTGTCTCCAGGTGATTATCTCTTGCTCCATTTGACTTGACAGTGTCCCCCAGTAGTCAAGGTAGAGCTGGCCATGCAGTTCAGAATCCAGGGACTGCTAGCCCCCAGGGGAGCCAAGCAACCCGAGGGCAGTCGCTGTGGTGTAGTGAGGAGGCAGGCATGTGTGTGACGGGTGGTCACCACCTGCCGTCCACAGTGTCTAGGGATCTGCCTGTCTCCCTACCCCGCCCCCCGACCTCATCGTGTGGCCTGCCCCTCCCAGGGCTGTACATCGGTGAAACGTGCTGGCGCTGCTTCCTGGCAGCCCACTAGCGCCCCACCTCTGGGTGCGGTGTCAGCTGCCATGAAAAGTGATCCTTCGTCTTGGGGAAAGTCAGTAGGTGGTGGGGCCTGGCTAGCCATCTCTCGTTTTCATTTTCATTTCTAAAATATTATTTCATTGATTTTTTTTTTTAGAGAGAGAGGGTGGGGGAAAGATAGAAACATCATTGATCGGCTGCCTCCTGCACGCCCCCTATTGGAGATTTAGCCAGCAACCCCCAGCATGTGCCCTCATTGGAAATCAGACTTGTCACCTCATGGTTCCTAGGTCAATCAATGCTCAACCACTGAGCCACACTGTCTGGGCAGCTGCCTCTTGGTTTGTTTGAGTTTTTTTGTTTTTTTATTGATTTCAGAGAGAAGGGGGGAGAGAGAGAAACATCAACGATGAGAGAGAATCATTGATTGGCCACCTCCTGCACGCCCCATACTGGGAACCAAGCCTGCCAACCCAGGCATGTCCCCTAACCAGGGATGGAACCCTGACCTCCTAGGTCATAGATCAGGACTCAACCACTGAACCACACCAGCTGGGCTGCCTCTCATTCTTATACCAGAGATCCTGGGGCCTGGAAATTCTGGCTCTTGGCAGTTCTGCCTCTGTATCCACTTGTTCAGGCTCAGGGTTCACCTGGAGTGTTCCCAAAACTCCTGGTTTAGGGGAAAAAATAAAAATAAAAATTTAATGTATGTTTTTAGTACTCAGGGTGCACTCTAGTTAAAAGTAGCAGCGAGAGTGAGGAGGACGGGGGGTGGGGTGAGAGAGAAGAGCAGGAAGGTGCTGAGTCAGCGCAGGCTCGACATTTCTGTCTGCAGCCCCTCTGAGTGGGTCATAACAAGGGCTGTGTTCCTCGTACCAGCTCCTAAGGGGCCCAAGAAGTCAGCCAGATGGTGAACTATGTGAATCTCCATCTGTCCCCACACCTGGAGACGCTGTCCTGCCCCCCAGCAGCAAGCCGCCTCTCGCCATGGTCTCCCACTCCATTTCTAGCCATCGTGGAGACGAGAACGCCATCTCGCCCGTTTCTCTACCTCCTGGTGGGCCACACAGTGCATATTCACTTGAGCACACTTTTGGGGGGGCAAGATGCCAACCCACTCTTTTGTGAAAGGGTCTGAAATCATCTCACCATCTTAATAGTTGCCTTGGTTACCACTGCGCCAAAATAAACCCTCTGGTTCTCCAATTGAATGATGCCTGCACCTCCCTGCTCCTCGCTGCCTTTCTTTTCCCAGGCCGATTCAGACAAAGGTCGGGAGGCGCTGCTGCCACTGGTCTGGATTGCCCCACCCCCACCCCCTCACCTCTGTGTGCCTCTGACTATGTCTGTTGAGTTCCTAGGTCTATCCTGGGCAGGGCTGGGACTGGGGTGAGGCAAGTCAGACACCCGCGGTGCAGGACTGAGGAGGCACTCCGAGTGCAGGTGCAACCCTAGTTGAAGCTCGTGAGCATCAGCACCTGCCCACGTAGCGCCCAAAACCTCTCCGAGGCCCTTCCCCGGTGGGAATTACAGACCTGCTCCTCCCCCCATCCTCCTTCCCAGTTGAACAACAAAATCTCTTTGAACACAACTTATTTATCCATCTATCCAGCCACCCAGGCAGTGTTGGGTTCAGTGAGTGCCAAGGTCATGTCCAGTCTAGGTGTGGAGGAGGCAGCAGATGCCAACACATTTGTAACAAGTCACAGCAGCAGGCAGTGCACCCAGACGGGCTGAGGCCCTGGCCCGGGGGCTGGGAAGGCAGCCCAGGAGGGCTGTTGGGCTAACAGATGGCCGGAAGCAGCGCTGTTGGGTCTGTGAAGGCTCTGGGATTGCTGGTCTCTGCGGGCTGACGCAGCAGAGCCACCGGGGAAGTACTGAGAGTCAGAGCCCTCCCTGGTGGCCCTCCTCAGCCTCCTCCCTGCCAGTGAGCAGGAGGGAAAGGCTTGCGTAGCTGCCTCCCCTTTATTTATCGGTTTGATTATTTCCGCGTCCCAGGGAGTCCGTGGGCCCTTTTCTTGCATTAGCCCATGTTGGGAAATAACGGAGGGACTGGAGAACTGGGGCCTCCAGTGTGGTTATTGATGTCATAATTACAAGAGGATGCTAATTTAATTTGAACCTAATTACAGTGCACTACCCTGGGTGGCATGTGTTTTAATAATTAACGTCCTTCAGATGCGTGGGAGGTAATAATATTTACACTGGGCTGGCCAGCAGCCTGGGGAGGCTGGCGGAGGGCCCAGAGCCCACCCTCCCCCGGACAGCGTGGCTGCTAGCAGGTGGAGAAGATGGCACCCCAGTCTCAGTTGGCTAGTGTCTCGTCACCCTTCCCCGGGGACATGCTTGGGCCTCATTTCCTGCCACTGCCTTGACCCAGCAGGCCACTGCGCTCTGTGGGGCGCCAGGCTGGAACCCTGAAATACAGGGTGACCTGCAGAGTACCCCTCCCCACCCCACAGAGACCGGCCCGGTTCTGGCTTCGCCTATCTGCCTGGGTCCATCCTAAGGGAGGGCTTGTGTACCGGGAGGAAGGAAAGGTGGTTGGATTTTCTTGTCTTTATTGGAAACACTTGTAAGGAAAAGTACATTCAGGAGAGTGTGCAGATGATAAGGGAACAGCTCAGGTTTTCACAAAGGGAACACACCTGTGCAGCGTAGCTACTCAGATCACAAAGAGAACATCGCCAGCCCATCACCCCCACAGGTAACCCCTCTGCCCCAGGAGATGGCTTTGGCTGGTTTTGTTGCATTTTTGTGGTGTTTGTTTTTTTGTGTGTCCCGGTTTTGCCTGGTTTTAAATTTAGCACAGGTGGAGTCTGCGTGTGTATTTTGTGCCTGCCTTCTCGTGCTCCCCGTCTGTGAGCTCGTCTGTGTTTCATTCGCTTTAGTTTGTGCATTCTCATTTCTGTACGTGCTGTTGTCTGCATACCCCACTCCTTGGCGGTTATAAAGGAGTCCGGTGCTCAGCAATCTGCTTGAGCCAGAACGATACCAGTCCCTAAAGGACAAATCTGCTCATCCTAACTATGCAACAGGGCATGGAGGTGACACTTGTGAGAAGGGGTAGCAAGATGACAGGGTAGGGCAGTTCCACCACAAACCCGGAACGGTTGCCAGCATGGCTCCCATGCCCAGGCTTTCCGCGCTCCCAGAGGTGGGGAAGGGATCCAGAAGCTGAGCAGGAGAACCATGGTCTTAAGAGATGATCTGAGGGCCCTGACCAGTGTGGCTTAGATGGTTGGAGCATCATCCCGTACACCAGAAGGTGGCGGGTTCGATTCCCAGTTATGGCACATACCCAGATTGTAGGCTCTATCCCTGTCCAGGAAGCAACCAATCCATGTTTCTCTCTGTATGGCTGGCCGACCAGCTGCCTCAGAATCCCCTGGGATTTTCATTAAAATGCAGCTTCCAGAAATAGTGCCAAGACTGTATGGGGAGTGGGCAGGGGAGTGGGGTGAGTGAGCTAAACCCTCAGCTAGCAG